AAAGATGTTAGAATTGTGTCGATGTCCCAATATTTCTGGACCTGACTGTATGTTCTCTGAGATCATATCTAACAAAAATATTTGTAGCTTTAATTCAAATTTTATTTTCAGAACATTTTGGTGTATTTCTTTCCAGTACTTTTGGGATTTCTTTACACAATCATCACATATAAAAAAAAACTTTCCTTCTCTGTTCTGGCATTTCCAACATGTATTGTTATAAGATAGATTCAGCTTGGCAATTGTGGATGGAGTTATATACCATCTGTAGAACATTTTGTACCAATTTTCCTTCAGATTGTACCTTGGTATAAATTTTATTGATTTTTCCCCATATCTCTTCCCATTGATCCACCATTATTGCTTCTTTGAAATTTCGCATCCATTTTATCATACCATTTTTTATTTGTTCTGTCTCCGTATCATATTTAAGTAGCATGAATCGTGGTTTCAATTTACTGATAAATGTGTGTCTGTCACTATATGAGCATTTTTCATTTTTTAGCTTTCCCCCCCTTTTTCATAACTTGGTGTTTTCTTTTACTTTGGGTTTTTTTTTGGTATTCAGTTAATTAAAAAGAAAAAAAGGAAATACCACAGGGCTGGCCTTACTTTGGTGAGCAGCTGTGAGTAGTAATCCGGAATGCTGTCCAAGGCGGCATTACCAAAGGAGCCTTTCAGCTGACTCTTGCCATTGATCGGGCTGCTTCCAAAGGGGGGGAAGAGGTTGAAATTGGCAGTGATGACTGGTTCCATCAGAGGCAGCAAGGAGAGTTCCTGAGGAGAAAGAACTGAATCAAACAAATGCTTCTTTATATGCTGACACATCCTGCAGACTGTATTAGAGGAATCCTCTGATATGAAATACCTGTGAAAGGGAACAGGTCGAGTTCACAGGGCCTGAAGATCTAGTGGCTATCTAGGCTTATTCTCCTGTTACTTTAATGCAGTGTTTCTCAACCTTGGGAACTTTAAGATGTGCGGACTTCAACTCCCAGAATTCCCCAGCCAGCCATGTTCCCAAGATTGAGAAACACTGCTTTACTGGGACAAAATCGTGAGGTTACGTAGCTCCTGCATGATTTCTGAAAACATATTTCCCTGCATCCAAACTATCCAGATCTGGTGAGATTTTGCTGAAGGCAACAAGAAGCTACATTAGAATAGTCAAAACAGCTGAGGTCTTTCTCTAAGACAGTGTATGCTTGTGCAGCTAAATTAGGACTTGTTTCTGCTGTCTCTATTCCCGATATTATACCCAGAAAGGATTCCAAATCTATCCATTATTTTATTTATATATGGAAGATTCGAGCTTATGAATGAGCACCAACACGTTCTCTGGGAACAAAACAATTTGTATCACTTGCTGGCATGTATCCACACTTCACCAAAATCACACCCCCTCCAGGACTCTAAGCACAGAGCAGACAGAAAAGGAGAGTACCCTGTTGCAGAACATTCTCCTACAAAAAAGGTTGAGACATAACACCATTTGTTTTCACATATATTTTTTAAAAAGAATATAAAATGGTGAGCTACAATAAGAAATCTGTATGAAAAGAAAATCTAGAAGGAATGAAAAATGTGTATTGACTTTTTTTAAAATCAAAAGGGCTATAAATATGAGGCACAGAATTATCAACTCCTTTTCTATGACAAATAAATACTGGTTGAACAGGATCATCATCATCATCATCATCACTACTACTACTACAATTACTATTATTTTTGGAGTTAATTAGAAAGAATTCCATATACTAGCTTAATTCTGCAATTAGCCCAACATTTATGGTATTTTTTCTGATTTAGAAATTATAGTAATATAAGCTTCATTAAAAGAAACTGGAACATCAGATTCAAATACTTTGTGATAAATGTTTACACATTTAGGAAGCAATTTATCTACATCTGCCTTATATTATTCTATAAGAAAATAATCTGGTCCTGAGACTCTATTGATTTTCAATACCTTTGCTGTAGACATGTTTGTGCATAGCCTACTCTAGCAAAAAGCAATTTATGCTTAGCGTCTGTAATTCCTCATAAAAATCTGGGGAGGAATGAATAAGAAATGGAGGGAACAAAAGTTTTAACTTCCTGTTTCATTTCTCTTCTTGTAATGCTCCTTTTTCATTCATTCATTCATTCATCACATTTATATAGCTGCCCATCTCACACAAAGCAACTCTGGGCGGCGTATAACAATTTTCATATCCCTTACGTGCTACCCATTCAATAACACATGAGGATTTTAATGAATATTTAAAATGAATATGTATACAGGCAGTCCTTGATTTACGACCATTTGTTCAGTGACCGTTTGAACCCCCCTCCCCTAATTTGTGCGCTGCCTGCGCTGGCCCTCCTAGGACTCCCCCACCACCACATGGCACCCCTGTACTCCCTACCTGGGAAGTTTCCATCTACAGGTATTCCTTGCTTAGTAACCACAATTGAGACTGGCAACTCCATCACTAAGTGATGCAGTCGCTAAGCAAACATGATGTGACCACGGCGGACTTACGTCACTTCCCATTCAGTCATTAAGTGAGTTACCGTGGGTCATTAAGCGAGACATCGCATGACTACAACTTGTAATTTTACTGTCAGATTCTCCATTGATTCTGCTTGTTGGAAGCCAGTTGTGAAGTAGACAAATGGCAATCACATGACTGCAAGAACACTGCGATGGTCATAAATACGAGGACTGGTTGTAAAGTTACTTTTTCAGCACCATCATAACTGTGAATGGTCACTAAACAGGGCAGCTGTTAAGCAAGGTCTACCTGTATAAGGAAGCCACTTGGGTGTGGAAGGATACTGCCATTATTTCTTTGCAGCAATCAGTTATGGTAAAGAAAAAAACAATTATAATAGCTGGAGGAAAAGTACACTCTTTATTAGTTAGGTGTAGTAAACACCTCACATATCTTTCAAAAAATTTGTTTTCCTCTTATGAATTCCTCCCCCATCTTTCATGTTGACTACCTAAAGTATAAACAATATGTTAATTAGAGATATGGATTACAAGTTAAAAATAATATCAATTCCAGGGCTGCATATGTGGTAACTGATGAGAATTGCCAAATGTATTATGAGATTCCAATCTAATGCCTTTGAAATGAAATGGTAATGTATCATCATTAGCATCTCACATTCAGAAGATGAATTACAAAAAGTAGGGGATAATTCCTAAAATCAGATTTAAGTTTTCAGGTCTGTGTCCTAAAACCATGACAGTGAAGTATGTACAGCCTCGTTATGCTGAAAGATGCGTTAAGCTAACACTCAGCAAAAGCTGCAGGCATTCTACTCTAGTGCAAGATTTATTAAACCACCTTGTTTGTTACTTTGTTTATTAAGGGTGAAATAATAAGGGAAAATGGCCTCAGATATTTGGAGATGTAATTTTTGAGTTTGCAACGAAAAGCAAACTGATTTGCAAAATGGCTTCAACTGTATTGCTCCAGTATTCTTTTTTCAAAATCAAACACTGACCAACCAAACATCAACCCCAAATGAAAAGACAGAAAATAATCAACATGTTTTGTTAGATTCTTAAAATGGATTAAAAACATGAGGAAAAATTGGGGGTGTGCTTGAGTTTAGAAGAATAATCCCACTACATGCAGTGGAATAGAAAGAAGAGGGGAGAAAACAGAATTCCCAAGTTAAAATGGTAATTTGTTCCCAGGACTAAGAGAGTGGCAAATCCAATTATAAATTTATACAAAATTTATTTTAGAATAATTTCCCAAATTTCATCAAGAGACAATTCAGAAATTGCCAAAAGTCAGTGTGCTGACTACTAATTACTGTATTAATTAACATACCTTTAGCTGCTCTGCTTATATAATATCAACAAGTCAATATTGTATATTCAGTGTGTTCAGATATTAACGATGACACAAATACTAGCAGGAAAAAAAATGTGATCACAGTCAGAAAAACAAAGCCCTATTTATCTGGTTAAGGTTGCCGTGTTCTTTTTCACACAACACACAAACACACTCAGTTTTGGTTCAGCCTTTCTGCCAGAAGCCCAAATGCGTTGTACCTGCTTTAGTTGCTTCATCAGGGCTTCATTGGACTTCACTCCATCCTCCTTGCGCAGTTTCTTGCGGGAACTGACAAGTCGCTCCCCAGCTTTCTGGGATCGCTTTGGCTTCGGTGGGGGAGGTTTCTTTGCTGAGAGTGCATCCTGGTGAGGAGAGAGGCAGGCACAAGTCCATTTTACCCCTTGGCAAACTTGCTCAAGTTCCCAGGAGAGTCATTCATGGAGCTAGCAAAGCTCACCTCCTCAACCCTCCCCACCTCAGTCAGGCCAGGTGAGTCACAAGCAAAAGGACCAAGAAGCCAGAGCAGGAGGGACAAAATGAAGGGCAGCACTATTTTACACTGCTGGTGAAGAGAAGGTGTTTTTAATGTTGCTTCCTCACGTGTCCAGAAGCAAAACACTGCAGATGGCTATGCTGAATCTCTCATCTCAGCTTGCTGGTTTATTAGAGAATCTACACATTCAACCACGTGGAGGAAAGATACTTTTAAAAAAAAAAACAGGGAAGGGAGATTTTAGACTCCTCATCCCAATGTAAAATGGTTACCAGGTGAAGGGTAGAAAGCCCTTTTCTTTCACATTATAAGGGACAGAAACATGTTACTTCAAGTCCAGAATGAAAGGCAATGTTCTTTGAAGCCTGTCAAAAAAGGCAGAAGGAGGCAACCTGCAGCCTCGTGTGACCACCTAGAATTTGCAGACTAGAGAAGTCACACTACCAAATTTCAAAAGCAATCAATCAAGAAGTTATTTCGGGGGGGAGGGCGGGCGGCTCTGGACAGTCTGACCCCAGCCCCTTTTAGTGATGTCATCACTCCACCTACTGTGGCTGCTAACCACGCAATAATAAAAGAGTGGTCCAATCTAGCCAGTGGGAGAGAAGCGATACCCAAAAGCTAAGGATGGCACCATGTCATGTCTCTCTTCTCTATAAAGTATTTCTTAGTCAAAAAGGTGAGCTATGCTTTTGGATTCTTAGTGAAATCCATTCCACAGGATAAAAAACAACTCTGCCTTCTCTGCCACTGGGTAGGTGGGATGGGCCTTCTGATGATACCCGTCTGTGATTCGGGTAGTCAGCAGCCACGGTAACATCACAAATCTAGGCAGGGTCAGAAGCTGAGATCTGCTTCTCTGTGACCGCTGCAACTGCTCTTCCCTTTCCCTTTACACTCACCTCTCGCACATCTGGCACCATCTGCAATCGGCCCTCTGTCCCAGCAAATTTGCCTTCCACGTGTCCGTTGACGTCACCCGAGCGCTGAGTCCCCAACGTCACATTCTTGGCTCGCAGCAACTTCTGCAGCAAGAGGTGGCCAGCTTCAGTGCGGCTGAGGCTGTTACTGTTAGTGGAGGCCGCCACCGCTGCTGCTGCCGCTGCAGCAGCAGCAACAGCAGCCTGTGCCACAGGCTCCCCATTTGCTTCCCGCTTGACTGGCTGGGGACTACTCATCAGGGCACACTGGGCCACCTCTTCCTTGGGTTCCTGTTTGATACAAACAAGGGGAGGGTCTCCTGATAGGGGCAAAACTCTTCCCACGACTAAGGAAGCCAATTTCCCCGCCTGCCCATTGACTGCTACTGGCTCCATGGGCACTTTGGTGGGGCCCTCGGAGTCTCTGAGGCTACCAGGGCCAAGAACTGTTTCCTTTGTGTTGGGAACTAAAGGCGCCGGGTCAGGGGAGAGCAGGGGACTGGGAGTGGTTGGCTGGTGTTTCTGGCTGGGGGTTGGCTGCTGTTCGGGGCTTTTAGCCAGGAGCAATGGGGATGGTCTCTTTGGCTCTGAAGGGCTGGGCTGCTGCTGCGGCAGAGAGGCCATGCCAGCGATGCTCAAGGGAACCGAGGGAGCCTGAGGAGTAGGAAGCCTTGGGGGCCCCTGTTGGTGAGGGCTGGTGGCAACCTGCTGGTTCGCTGGGACCTTCTGCTGCTCGGCAGATGCAGCAAACCCCTGCTCTGGACGGATCTGGAATACAGCAAGAGGGGGCTGCCTTGGGAGCTGCTGCCCCATGGAGCCGGGGAGGGGAAGCTGTGGAGCAGCCGGCCGGCTCTGGTCAAGCGATCCCTGTGCCTGCCCTGGATAAGGGCTGGCTTGTCGCAATGCTTGGTTCTGCTGCAGCAAGTTCTGCTGATGCCGCTGCATCAGCAGAGCCTGCAATTGCTGCTGCTGCTGAGGAGTGAGGTTCCGGAGTTGTGGATTTTTAGAGATGACTCCCTGAAGCTGAGCCCGGATCTGACCCATTACAGGGCTGGCCAGGATGTTCTGGCCTTGGGGTGATGACTGTGGGACTATCATGCCTTGCTGCTGCTGCTGCTGCTGCAACGACATTGTCAACCCAGGTGTTTTGGAGGTTCCAGCTGGGCTTTGAAGGCGCTGCTGCTGCTGCTGCTGCTGCTGCTGCAGAGCAAGCTGGCCTGGTAAGCCTTTAGAAGGTTGTTCTAGGCTTTGGCCCACAATCCTCTGCTGCGGAGCCATGCTGTTCTGCCCTTGATTCTGCTGCTCCATCTGCTGGTTGAGCAAGTGGGGAGGCTGAGTGGCATCCCGGTGCTGATGGTGATGGTGCTGCTGCTGAGAAGACGCCTCTTGCTGCAGGATACTATCCATGGCTGGGTGAGTCCGCAGGGGCTGTTGCAGGTGGTTGCTTTGCTGCTGTAGGCTACTGTTCTGCTGCTGTTGCTGCAGCTGCAGCTGCAGAGGACCCAACAGGTTCTGCTGCTGAGAGTCCAGGAGAAGCTGCTGTGCTTGGCCCATGTCGGCTGGCTGCTTCTGTGGCTCCCCGTGCTGCTGGAGCATCAGCTGAGAGGACTGCTCTTGCAGAGGGGCTCCGTGGCTGGGCACCCCTTGCTGCTCAGGGGTATTCATCTGCCCTCCCAGCTCCTGACCTCCTAAATGGGGCCGAAGTTGCTGCTGCTGTTGCAGTACACCACCCGCTCCCTCCTGGGGAAGCACCCCGGGGCCTTCTGGCCCTCCCTGCTGTTCTTTCACAGCCAAGCCCTGCTGCTGCTGCTGCTGCTGCTGCTGCTGCTGCGCTGGCAGGGCTGGCTGCATTCCCTGACTTGAGTGCAGCGGCTGGTTCAGAGACCCATGCTGTGCAAAGTGCTGGATAGGCTCAGCGGCTATTCCCTGCCCTTGGCTAAGGGCACTTGGTTGAG